TTTTTTTTTCCGGGTATGGGTTGGTTGGTTGGGGTGCGGGGCTGCTTTTGTTCATTTAGATTTGTTTTTTCTTGAGGCCTGGTTGTTTTGTTTTGTTTTTTGGCGGAACTGGGAGTTGAACTTAGGTCCTTGCGCTTGCTGAGCTATCTCCCTGGGCCCCTTGAGGCCTGGTCTTACAGAGTTGCCCAACCATGCATGGAACTTGTGATCCTCGCCTCTCAGTTCCTTAATAGTATTATGGGTGTGCCACAGCACCTGGCTAGTTGTGTATATTTTTGTAAATAAGTGGCCCATAGTTCTCATCATAATGTATAGGTGTGCCTCCACGTAGTAATCACTTGTCAGAAAACAGCTTTGTTTTGCACAGTTTCTCTTAGGATGAAGCTGACGGTTTTTGTTTTGTCAGTGAATTCCATGTCTCCTTTTTAACGGTCAGAAGAGTCTCAGTTTTCTGGTACTGTATAGCGACAATATTTGTACCTTTATGGCTAGAGAAAAAACTTACTAAACAAATGCTATGTGTTAGGTAGGCTCAGTGGTAAGTTTTGAGGATATAGCTGTGCACAGAGTAGGTATGTTCCCTGCCCTCCAGAACTTTCTAGAAACGGTAAGAAACACTGATAACTTCTAAGCTTTGGAATTAAACGTTTTCTTTTCCTAACTCTGTGTAGTAACAGAGGTACTAGTGGTGTGTAGCATAAGTGCTTGTATGATACATATTTAGCAAAGATATCAAACTAAAATTTGCTGATTCATTATACTACAAACTATGAATAAAATAGTAGAGACTGTTCCTACATCTAATTGTTTTATGTGTAGATACATACTAATTACTGATACGCAAAATGTTATTAGCAGAGCTTCATCTCTTACACTTACGAGAGTTTTTTATTGTTCTTATGCCCCAGTGGGCATTCCCCCCCCCACCCCGCCCCATGGGTATCTTTATTATCACTTTGGAAACTTGCTCTACTCAGTAATCTTTGTTTTCATTTATCTGTGTATGTATTTGGTATAGGGTCTCGTTACACAGCTCAGAGTTGTAGTGTTCCTCATGTCTCAGCCTCCACAATGTTAGGATTACATGTGTGTGCCAGCATGCCTGGTTTTGGTGGCTGGCATGGCACGCAGTACTGGGAATTGAATGAGTCCTTGCACTTGCCAGGCAGGTGCTTAAACCACCAGGCTAAGTCCATAGCCCTCAGTAATCTTTGGATACTAGTCCCAAGTTTTTCTCTTCACCACACCATCCTTAAATGAAGGGTGTAAGGCTTTTTAAACATGAATATAAGGGCTGGCCAGATAGCTCAATGGATTGAAGCACCTGCTTAGGGAGACACAGGGGTTTGATCCTTGACCTGCTGTGCCACGCCCTTGCAGCACACCGATGGGGAATAAGACAGGGCCTGGTGGAGCGCCAGTAATCCCAGTGCTTCGGAGGCTGAAAAACGAAAGGATCACTACAAGTCAGATCTGCATAGTGAGACTCTGTATTCCTGTACTAAATATATAAAAAAAGAATGGCTATCATCAAAAAGTCCAATAACCACAAGTGCTGGTGAGGATGAGGGGAAATCATCCTCACTGTTGCCCTGTTGGTGGGAGCATCAACTAAGGCAAACACTATGGAAATCAGCGCAGAGAGGCCTTAAAAAAAAAATGAATGTAATTTCCTTATATTCGTGGTCATTAGTTACTTTGTATCAGCAGGACCAGGTACCTGATAAACACAGTGATTTATAATGGCTCATGGGTTCAAGGGTTTCAGCCCATGGTTAGTGGCTCTAAGGCTGGAACACCATGGTGGAAGAGGGGAGTGGCGGAGGGGGGCTCCCCCCATCACGGCAGCCAAAGCAGAGGAGGAGAGGAGGAGAGCAGGCAAGAACGAGAGCAATTCCTTCTGAGAGTGTACCCGAGTGAGCAGCCCCTCCTACTGGGCCGCGTGTCGTAGTAGCCCATCTTGTGATGAATTCATCCACGTGTTGATACACTGACTGAGGTTCACCCCTTTTGATCCAACTGTCTTTTGAAAGCCCTGTCTCTGAAGACGTGAGGCTTCCGGGGACACTTCAGGTCTAGGTGGTAACATCCACCGGATCGCACAGCAAACATTTTATTCCGCATGTTTTTTGGACATCTTTTCCTTCAACCAACCATTAACTTGTTAAAGTCTTTTTTGCTCTTCCTCATTACACTAGAGATATTGAAAACAATGTGGTTGTCTTTTCTGTGACTAGTTTCTAGAAGACTTTACACACCAACTATTAGTAGAACTAGCAACATTTATCTTAATGTGAAGCTATCTGTTGTTTACTACCTCTGTACAAAAAGTGTGGATTAAAACATATTTTAAAATTTCACGGGGCCAGGGAGATGGCTCAGTGGCATAAGCGCTTCCCTGGCAAGCGCAAGGGCCTGAGTTCAATCCCTGGTTCCACCAAAAAAATTACCAAAAAATAAGATTTCACTTAACCTAAGTTGTTTGAAATGAACATAAAGGGTAAGACACATGCATAAAATAATTGGACACATATGTACCAATATCTTACCTTTACCTTTTTCAGGAAGAGGATGAGTGATACTCAGCCCAAAATGGAACTGTGTCCTTATTGTAAGAAGCCATTTAAGCGATTAAAATCCCATTTGCCATACTGTAAGATGATAGGACTCTCCGAACGTACTGACCAGAAAATTGCTCAGTCAAAGCCAGCTACCCATCTACATGCTAAAAAAGTGAAGAGTCTGATCAGAGACTTAACTGAACCTAAAGGGAGAGAGTTTAAGACAAAGAGTGAGGAAAAAAATGCCAAATTGAGACGTCACAAACCAGAACAAACAATTGCCTCCTGTCCACAATCAGCTGTTGGCTTGGAAAGAGCAAGTACAACAAAGGCAGAGAAGGACATCAGGGATCAAACCCAGTTGGCCTTCAAAATGTTAAAATACCCTGAACCAATGATTACTTTCCAAGGAGAAGCTAAAACTCAGTTTTATGCATCAAATGACAATTCTAAGAGAGGACTTGCCAAAGATGTGCCAGTGTCAGAGGAAAAGAAGTATGATCTTTCAGAAACAGAGGGCTTGTTACTGGCTGGCTCAGTGGAACCTTTGTTGAATCAAGATAGAAAATATTCCTCAGCTGTAGCTGTACCTAATAATGTTCAAGCCATGTCTCCAAATTTGAAACTGGACACAGTTGACTCCCAAAGACAGGGGTTTCTAGTAAAATGCCTAGATAAGCCTACTGGTGATAGCCATCAGTCTCCAAGGAATGTCGCCGATAGGGCTCAGAAAGTAACAGTAGCAGTGTTGAGCAAGCAGAGGGATTCCAGAGATAGAGATCGCCCCTCAGGAGTCCTCGCTGGTGTTGAGACTCAGGAAGAGAACTCAGAGTCCCCTGTGTTAGGCCTTCACGCTAGCCCACTGGCTAAAATCCAGGTTGAGAAGAGCAAACAAAACGGCCTTGGCCTTGGAGTCGAGGGCTGTGGGAGCAAAGGAGATGCAGAGTGTGACAGACGTGCAACAGAGATGCGCCAGTGGGATTCTGTCAGCCATAACTCTAAGAACCGCAGCGCTGGTGATTCAGCCACGGAAGAGACACTGAAAGCTGAAGGCCCACTTGTAAATTTGTTCGCTCCACGGGAGGCAGTGTACAGTGAGCCGCCTCCTGTATCGAAGTCACCTACTCCAAGTCTTGCCACTCTGTCTATGAAATCTGTGCAAGAAGCGAAAGCAGACTTCTGCAGTCAAAATCAGGTCTCTGATGTAAAGATAGTAAGGGGAAGTACGGAGCAGGGGCCTACAGAGCCCAAATCTGGCTGCCCGCCCACGGCTCTGCGGTCTGGGGGCCAGCAAGGTGCATATCCTGCCCAGCATCACCTTCCTAAAAGCGCTTTTGTTGATGATTTTGGCGCCACAGACAGAAAGACTCTTCCCAGCGGCATCGGGCTGGAGTGGTTTCCAGAGCTTTATTCTGGCTACCTTGGACTAGGAGTGTTGGCGGGGAAGCCTCAGTACTGGCCTTCAGTTGCCCAGAAGCCTCAGCTCACCAGTCCTCAGTGGGGACATCTCTCACAAGGTAAAGCTGTTTCTCGGGCCCTCTAGCCCATCTGCAGTGCTGTGCGCCTTTGGAATAGGGCCACAATGCTAATATTTTCATTCATTGAGCTTATTCTCATATAGACACTCTGAAAGTCCGTTGGACTTGAAAACGTTACTTCTCGATCAGTAGTTATAATTTAGTAAATGGATATTCAAACTGAAAAGAACAAAAAACTTTCAGTCAGGATCAGATTAGATAGAAAACAGGTTTTTTGCTTTTTTTTTTTTTTTAATGTATGTAGTAGAAGGTCTTCAGGGTTTCACTATACAGAGCAGACTCATGATCCTTCTGTTTTCAGCCTCCCAAGGGCTGGGATTACAGGTGCACAGCACCACGCCCAGTCTCATTTGCCGTCAGCCCGCCCCGGGGGTGGGGCCAGCATGGCAGGCTGGGATGGAACTCCCAGTCCTGTGTCTGCCTAACCAGGCACTGTAATCCACTGAGCTATCTGGCCAGCCCAGTTCTTCATTTATGCTAAAAAGCAACACCTAGAAATTCAGAGTAGCAGAGAGAAGGTGCAAGGGGAAGCTATTTATGGAGCTGGGGATAAGTTGGAGTTAAAACTGGCCAGCTAAAAATCATAGTCAAGACAGGTGGAATTAGAGCCTGAAGAGATAAACCAGAAGAAGTCAAAGACCAGCACTGTAAAAATACAGGATGTGGCAAAAAGGATCTCGAAGTTTGCAGTTGAAGAACTAGGTCACAGAGATTAGGACCCAAGAACAGAGCCAGAGATCGAGCCTTGAGACATGAAAGTAGGTAAGAAGGACTTAGAAGAGGCTGAGTGTTGAAGCTGATCTCCCTTGTCAGTCTGTCTTCAGAAGCTTCTTACATGCTGCCGGCTGATAGCTCAAGCGAGTGGGCGAAAGAGGAGCCAGAAAGGTCCTGGCAGGCTTTCCAAGTGCAGCACTCTCACTTTTTTCTGCTGAGTCCTGTCTTTAGTTACTGAATTTCCGATCTAGGTACACAAAGTACATAAAGCTTCATCCATCTGCTCACCAGGAGGCGGGGGCTGTGCGGGTTCACTTCTTTTGAAGACTCAGTGGGGACATAAATAGCACCTTTATCTTTCTTTTTGAGACAGGGTCTCCTACACAGTTCAGGCTGGCCTTGAGCTTTGTACCTGGTCTCGCAGTGACCCTCCTGCCTCTGCCTCTGCAGTGCTGGGATTATAGGCATGTGCTACCCTGCCTGGCTACCTTTGTCTTTCTTGTGCAGTGGTCTTTGTTACTTTTGGGCTCATTTTGACAGGACACCTATAGCAACTCAGAATTAATTTGCTCCTGAAAATCTGCTATTATGTCTTCCTATAAGAAGTTTTTCCTTTTTTTTTTTTTTTTTTTTTTTCAGAACAGGGGATTGAACTCAGACCTTTGTGCTTGCCAGGGAAGTGCTTCTTCTACTGAGCCATCTTCCCAGCCCCAAGTTTTTCCTTTTTTGATATATTTTGCGGATCACATGTGGTATGATCACACATTCCTTGAGGCCATTTGTCTGGTCTCGAAAGCATTTTCCCCCTCTTCTAATTGCCCTCTCAACCCCAGCTCAGTGCTGGGAATTGAACCTAGAGCCTTGGGGTTGAGCTACAAACCAACCTGTTAATATTTTTTGAGATATGATCTTGCTAAGTTGCCCAGGCTGGCCTCCTGTTGTTTTGGGGTTTTTTTTGTTTGTTTGTTTGTTTGTTTGGGTTTTTTTGGCAGAACCGGAGATTGAACTAAGGCCCTTGCGCTTGCCAGGGAAGCACTTACTCCACTGAGACATCTCCCTGGCCCCCTCTTTTTTTTTTTTTTTTAATTTGTGTGTGTGTGTGTGTGTGGCCGGCTCAGCCCATCAGGGGGCGGGGCTGGCTGGTATGTGGTGCTGGAGGATTGAACCGCGGTCCCTGTGCTTTAGCTAAGCTTGTTCTAAGTAGGTGCTTTAGACCACTGAGCCATCTCACCAGCCCCCCCCCCTTTTTTTTTAGACAAGGTTTCACCATGCAGTTCAGGCTGGCCTTGATCTCACTTTGTAGCCCAGGATGACCTTGAACTCACAGCAGGTTTTCTGCCTCAGCCTCCCCTGTGCTGGGATTATAGGTGTGTGCTACCACATAGGCGCCTTCTAATTTTTTTTTTTTTTTTACTTTATTTTGTAAGACAAGGCTTCACTAGGTTGCCTGGGGTGGCCTTGCTTTAGATTCCAGAGTAGCTAAGGCAGAGTAGAAGGGCTGGTGATATAGGGCAGTAACAGGACATTCGCCAGGCCATGCCTGCAATCCTGCATACTTCATCAAAAAGCATTTCTTTGGTATTATAATTATCCATCACTTGTTCCTTTTTGTTTATTTGATTTTTTGTTTGGTGCTAGGGATTGAACTCAGGCCTTCATGTGTGCTAAGTGTGTAGTCCAATACACACTCCACCCCACCCACTGTAACTATTCGTTTCTAGTGGCTTTCCGTACAGTATATATTAAGGAAAGAACACTGCTAGGTAGAGCTACTTTCTGTGTTCCCTGTGCAGTTTTCAGAGTGCTTCCATCTCTGTTTTACAAATAATAAAGCCGGCACAGAGAGTGTAAATGGCTTGTCCAAAATCACATTGCCAGGAAGAGTAGAGCTGTAAGTAGAGCTTAGTCTCCTGGGGCCTGGCTTGTCCCTTTTCAACTAACCCAGATGGTGGAAGTGCACCATGAGAATAGGGCGCTGTGTGAGAGGAACCTGAGCCTCAGACGTCTCAGGTGACTTGTTCAGATTTATGCAGTATGTGACAGGAGTCAAATCCAGGCCCAGCCAAGTGTGGTGGTGGGGCACACTCAACGTTATTCCAGCTGAGATAGGAGGATCACTGTGAGTGAGTTCAAGGCCAGCCTGGACTATATAAAGCCGGAACTACTTGTCTCAAAAAAAAAAAAAACTGCCTCAAAAAGACCAAAAACCATGCCCACCCTGCTCTTCTGACTGATCTTTAAGCTCTACTGTGGAGTAGTTAGTGATTGTTATCTTATTTGATAGGTTATTAGTCAATTTATTTCACCTTAATGGATCCCAAGATAACAGTAATAAAAAAGTGATACAGTAACTTACAACATCAAGTCACCAATCTCAGGAGGTAGAATATGGGAAACAAATAGAATTTTGCCTTCAAGAAAGACTAATTCCTAGCAAGTGTGGTGGCATGTACCTGTAATCCCAGCGCTCAGGAGGCTGAGGCAGGAGTTAAAGGCCCACCTGAACTACATAGAGCCTGTACTGCTTGTCTCAAAAAGATAGTGGCTGGGGGCCGGGGAGATGGCTCAGTGGAATAAGCGCTTCCCTGGCAAGCGCAAGGGTCTTGAGTTCAATCCCCAGTTCTGCCAAAAAAAAGATAGTGACTAGAAACTGTTCGGTTCTTTAGGTGCTTAGAGTCTCTATGTAGTATTGTGAGTAGAGGGCTACTTCTGTGTCATTCAGGTCTGGTCATCAGAGTATTAGAAGCTGGATCCAGGGTTAATGTAGAGACTTCTAGGCCATGAGTGAATGAACAGAAGCTGGCTGGAACCTGTGTGCCTCAGCAGGTTGTTTCTGTGGTTGAAAACTAAACTGTTCGCTGTCACTGCCCAAGGATATCTTTGGCTGGCAAAGAATCAGCGGGGCCACCTCAATCTGTAAGAATTGAGAACTAGGCTGGGGAGGTAGCTCGAGTCTGAGCGCCTGTCTGGCAAGCAGAAGGCACACATTCAGTCCCTGGCACCACAGGTGGTGTGGGCTCTAGATACCTGAGCGCGTGCTGCTGGCCACCAAAACCAAGCATAGTGGTGCACACCTGTAATCTCAGCGCTGGGGAGGCTGAGACAGGAGGATCACTACGAAGCTGCGGTTAGACCTTGTACCAAATAAATAAATAAATACTTTTTAAAAAGAATTCAAAAGTAGTGTCCTTATCTCCTCAAAACTTTTTTTTAAATCTTTTTTTTTCTTTTACATGTGGCAAGTTCAGCCTGCCCTGGTGGCATGGCTGGCCCAGCATGTGGTGCATGGGATTGAACCATGGTCCCTAAGCTTGCTTAAGCTTGCCTAAGCAGGCACTTTAGACTACTGAGCTATCTCACCAGCCCTTCCTCAAAACTCTATAGAGCAAGGATAGCTCAGTGGCTTAAGTACCTGCATGGAAAACACAAGCTCCTGAATTTGATCCCTGGTATCAAAAAAACCCACATTATTTTCCCTAAAAATAGCAACCTCCAATGTCTGCAGATTAAAGTTGAACTTTCATGGAGTCTTACACAGAAGAGCACAGGCTGTGCCCTCTCGCTTAGACAGCTTTCATCAGCCCCTTGTCCCCCTCCTCTCAGGAGGCTGACGCATGCTTTGCATGTGTCAAGACAGCTGGTGAGCAGCAGTCTTTGAGTTTACTGTCCAGCTCATGCTTCAGACTTGCCTAGTCTGCTCAGGTCGACCTTATGCCAGTCATGGGAGATCGGTGTTAGGTCCTCTCGTGGGTGAGGACCCCAGGCTTCAGAGAGGAAAGATAACTTTGTGGCATCACTTGTGGCTAGCAGTTCCATTTCCTTTTAAGGGGAGCTCTATGCCTGCTTAGACAAGGACAAGGACCACGCACGGTTCCATCCCCACCACCACGTGCTGCACCGGCCCCGCCCCCTGGGGTGGGTTGAGCCGGCCAACAGTCCAGCCATAGTGGTACACACCTGTGATCCCAGCACTGGGGAGGCTGAAAACAGGAGGATCGCTATGAGTCTGATCTATGTAGTGAGAGCCTGTAGACCCTGTACTAAATACATTTAAAAAATAGTAAGTATCTAGAGAGTGAATGTTCTTAGCAGTAGAGGGCAGCATTCATTGTGCAAGTGCATCTGTCAGGGCCCTCGTGGCCTTGAAACATCCAGGGCCAGCTTTGGGAACTCAGGTGTAAAGGAGGCGTGTGTCCTTGCTCTCCAGGTCTGGGCAGTGAATTTCCATCCTCAGCCGCACCCAAAAATCAATGAATTTTGTATGGTGCATTTTAAAGATTACAAGTCATGCCCCCGAGACTGATTCCAGCCTCAGGTCCAGGACTTGCTTTTTAGACAGCCCCTGGATGCTTCTGAAGCGCTGCATTTGAGAAGACCGGTGCAGGGACTGATAGTGAAGCGGGCGCCTCAGGCCCAGCAGGGTATAGTTCCCAGCAAATGGAGGGGAGAAAGGCCAAGAAATAGCTCAGTAGAAGCTGCTGTTTGATGCTCCAGTGAGACTTGTCAGTAGGGTGAGCAGGTGTATGCCAGAAATGTGAATGTGAGCTTTGTACGCCAGGGTAAAGGAGGAGTCAGGTTGTACATTTGGGATTCCGACTAGACAGGACACACAAGAGAAAGTTCAGAGGTTGCGTGGGAATGCAGTGGTGGTGAAGAATGGAGCCATTGTCTGAAGGTTGAACCCTGAAGGAGGGATCAGGATATGAGGGTAGTGTTGCTGGCAGGTGAAAAGGCAGTGCAGATGAGGGAGCAGAGGCCAGGCGACGATGCTGTCGTGGGCCTGGGTGGCAGACAAGAAAACCATGGAAACAGGTGCTGCAGGCCTGTGGGAACTCCCCGCCTCCTGTGTGAGCCTAGGTCCAGGACATGTGCATAGTTTGCCTGAACCCATTGGCGGGAATGAATGAGCGTAGTAGTTGACTGAAGGAAGATGGCATGTTGGAGGAGCCCTGTGGCTCTGACACCAGTTAAGGCGCTTGCACGGTTGCAGGTTTCATGAGGTTACACTTTCAGCTGATCAGAACCCACCCTTCAACTTGCAGGGGCTGATCTGTGTAGCTTTTTAGAAATCTATATAGTTTATTATTTAATATGAAGATCGTTTGGTTAGTGTTTTATGTCCACAGCAACTTGTCACACCTGCTAAACCTGTCAGTAATTGCTCAAGTTGTCCTGTTCGCCAACAAGCCAAACCAGTACCAGGGCACCATTGGTGATGGAGCTTACTTGTCTGTATTAAACATTGAAAACATAACTAGAGATTGAGTTCAGGGCCTTCACACTGAGCTACACTTCCCAGGTCTTGTTAATGTTTTTTTTTTTACTGTGAGACACAGATTATTGTCTGGGCTACGCTTGAACTTGATATTCTCTCATCTTAGTCACCCGGAGTGCTGGGATTACAAGTATGCACCGTCAGACTTGGCTAACAATTTGCTCTTAGGCTTGGGTTCCATCTATTCAACAAATATGTTTTTGGCCCTGGGGAGATAGCTCAGGAGAATAAGCACTTGCCAGGTAAACACAGGGTCCTGAGTTCAATCCCCAGTACCGCAAAAAAAAAAAAAAAAAGATTTTTTTTTTTCTAAATTTTATTTATAAACAGCAATGAGACAGTTTCAAATCAAATCAGAAGTATAGATTCAACAAATAACACACCGCATATATTCTTCTTAGTGAAAAGATATGTTTTTAAGAATCAAAAATCTGAAAAACTTGTGCTCCTGGGCATTTCAGATGAGGGGTGTTGAATGTGAAGGTATGAAGTCATGGTCTTTGCTAAAATGTTTTGCAGCTGGTGGAGCTTACGTGTAATTCATTTGGGTAAGCCTGTGCACACAAACCAGATGATGTGGACAGTGTGTTCATTGATCAGAAATAAATATTTATTGAGTCCTGATTGCCAAGGGCTCTCTCAGTCAAACTTTTTTTAACCTGGAATGGATTTAACTGTCAACACTTACTTAAAATTCAATGCAGAGATCGTTAATCCACCCATTTAGAAGTGGAAACCTTCTGTACCGAATGTTGGGGAAGGGGGTGAATTTATGTGAATGTCACAGTGACCTCTGTTTGGAACCTTAGTTCCTTTGTTGGAAAGAAGTTCAGCTGATCTAAGGAGTTTGGAGCCCCCGACCAGACTCGCACCCTCCAGCTTCCCTCTGATGAAGCTCTTGGGAGCTGTGCACAAAGGTGAGCTGGAGCTCCTGACCGTGGGGCTCTGTTGCCGACTGCAGGCCTTCGGAGAAGCTTCTCCTACCATAGGCTGCTGAGAGTGAGGAGCAGGAAGGAAAGAATGATGGTTTTGTCTTGGTTTTTTGCATTTTGTAATCAGACATCATTAAAAGCACCAAAGCTGATAGAGCAGCGTCTACCATTTGTTGGATAAGTTTCCTCTTCTGATCCCTACCCACTTGTCCCCAGCCTCTCCTGCCCGTACTGATAGAGCCTCTTCCTGCGGCCAGGCGGATGCCAAACCTCAGTAACCAATTGTGTTAGTCTGTACCCCACCAAAGATTTTAACCCACCTCCCAAATACGAGGATAAGTAATTTGAATTTGATAATGTCTTCTGGATTTTAGCTGTTCCATCTGCCTAAAATGTATCTCTCGGGTATGTGTGTGTAAATTCCGAGTTAGAATTCCATCACCCAGGCTCAGTGGGACGATGCAGGGGATGGCCGTACTCCATCCGGGTCAGTGTAACACTTAGACGCGTTTCTTTTGGGGCAGGCTGGGTCCGGTGCAACACCACCATAAAGAAGAGCGGAGTTGGCAGCGTCACGATGCTCTTCGCTGGATACTTCATGCTGTGCTGCAGCTGGAGCTTCCGGCATCTGAGTAAGCCTTTCTACGACTTTAACCTAAATTACAGGTCACCTCCCGTTGCAGCAGCTCCCAGGGATTACCAGAACGGCTTTTCAGACTGGTTTTCCAGTGTCTGACCTGACTAATGAGTGAATTACTACCTGGGACTCTGGGAGTTTTAGTAGAGGTTTTGTTTATAATAGCCTTCGGAGGATTTGAGAATGTCTATTTTCTCCTGTCTGCTGCTTCCCTGCCAGAGGAACGGTGCTCTCCTTGGTCCCCTCGAACTTAATTTTAGTAGTACAGCTGAACAGCTTTGCATCACAGGAGAGGTGGAAGGGAACACTGTTGCTACTCATTGATGTGCTGACGCTTACGGCTCCGAATCCACTTCTGACAGTTCGAAGCAAGCCCCTCCTAATTACGAGAGTCAGCTTGTACCAGATCTTAACCAGAAGGAAAAATGCCTCGGTTTAATTTTTAGTTCAAGATAATGTTTAAATATTCTATTACAAAAATGTATCTATTTTTTTTTTTTTTAAGTAGTCTATAGGGAGCTGTCAAAAAATTGTATGTCTTCCATTTTTCTGATTTTTAGCTTTGGGGGTGCTGTCGATCAAACTGAGATCACACTGAGCTACATCCTACTTTGAGACAGTCTTGGCAGGTTCCCCAAGCTGAACTCGAACTTGCAGTGCTTCTGCGTCCACCTCTCCAGGCGCTAACATTACAGGCACATGCCACCCTTTCCACAGTGCAGAAAGGAAAAAACATTTAGACATTTTCAGATTAAAAGTTTCGGGGCAAAAGGCTAATATAACCTTGAACAGTAAAAGCCAACGTGCTGCTTAGGCAAGTGCAGGGACAGGGATTTGGATTCAGTGCTGGCACCACGTGGTGCGCTGACCTGGCCTCCCAGGTGTGCAGAGCTGGCCACAGGCCAGGTGTGGTGGCACACACCTGTAATCCAGCGCCGGGAGACTGAGGTCACTACACGTCAGAGCTGCGTACTGAGACCCTGTACCAGATGCATAAAACAACTTTTTAAAAGCCAATATAATTTATAAACTGGAGAAAAGTCTTTACAAGAGATGAGTCGGGTGTGGTGGTACACACCTATAGTCCCAGCATCTGGGAGGCAGAGGCAGGAGGATTGCTGCAAGATTAGGGCCATCCTTGGCTACATAGTGAGTTCACAGTTAGTCTGAACTACATGGCGAGACCCTGTCTCAAAAAAACAAAACAGTAAGATTGGATACTTTCGGCTAGACTCATGCCAGGTGAATAGAAGGGCAGGTCACCCACCGGGAATGGACATCAGTACCCCCTATATTCTGAGTTTTAAGGCATAGCGGCCAGCTCTTCTGTAAGACACCTCGCCTTTGGTGAAATTGGAAACCCTACGTGGAGAGGCCGAAAGGCAAGATTCATTTCTCCTGAAGAAAATGGTTTTTCTTAGGGTCGTACCACTCCAAAAGTGATTATGTGGCTGATAGTATTTTTTTAAAGTAGGCATTTGGTAGACATTGCATTTTTCACCTCTCTAATTCACAACTGAAGTGAAGTAAAAAATTTTTGTGCCTAAGACTGTTTCTGAATTACAAAACAGGAACATACTGGTTGGGGCAGGGGGTCAGCACTGAGTACTGCCTAGCATGTGTGCCTGAGGCCCAGGGTTCAATCCTCAGCACCACCAGGAAAAATAAAATTGCCAGATCTTGAAACTTCTAGATAGTTCCCCCAAATCAGTGAAACGAGCATAAGAAAGTGATCTGTATGGGGAAGGTAGGAACGGGCAGCACAAGTGGCCCTTGGGATCCTTACATTGATCTCTGTTTGTCCAAAGAGCTGCATCGCTGGCATAAGTAATACTGACCTGGACACCACTCAAAGCTCTGGACGCACAAGGGCAGCACGGTGGAGAGACAGCAGCTCTGCAGGTTGAGCAGTTTATGTTTGTACTGGGGCAGGGCATGTACAGAATAAACAGCGGGAATCTAAACCAGTTACACAGAAAGTAATTTTTTTAAGGTGGACAGACCTGGGTCTGTGTAGGTATTTATTTGGCTTGCTCTCAAAAGTGAACAATAGGCCGGATATGGTGGTGCACGCCTGTAATGCGAGCACTTGGGAGGCTGAGGCAGGAGGACTGTTGTGAGTTCCAACCAGCCTGGGCTACAAAGTGAGCTCAAGGCCAGCCTGAGCTGCATAGCAAGACCCTGTCCCAGAAGGACCCCCACCACTGCCAAAAAAAAAAGAAAGTGACTCCTAATCATTAGAAAACTTTGTTTAATCATAAAATTGTTCAAGGAGATACAATGATAACGTGTGACATTTAAAAACCATTTCTTGGGGCCGGGGAGATGGCTCAGTGGAATAAGTGTTTCCCTGGCAAGTGCAAGGGGCTGAGTTCAATCCCTGGTTCTGCAAAAAATAAAAATAAAAACTGTTTCTTGGGGCCAGGGAGATGGCTCAGTGGAATAAGCACTTCCCTGGAAAGCGCACGGACCTGAGTTCAATCCCCGGTTCCACCAAAAAAAAAAATTTCTCTTTTTTTTTTTTTTGTGGTACCAGGGATTGAACTGAGGACCTTGTGCTTGCCAGGCACACACTTAACCCTACTGAGCTATCTCCCTGGCCCTAAAAACTGTTTCTTAACATTCATGAAAACTGGTAACTTTAAGTCTTCTCCCTAAATTGTTTCTAAAGCCTGGTGTTTGGCCATTGGCACACATGAGGTCGTGGATTACACAGATACTCATGCGGGCTAGCTCCCAGCTGGCAGAGAAGGAGCTTACCTGAGGCCTTTCTTCTCTTAAGCACATGCTGACAGGGGTGAGAAACAAAGCAAAGGCTGAGGGCCAGGTGGCAGAGGAGTCTGCAGAAACCCTTGCAAACATTTCTACACGTTTTTCTACACTTGTTAAAATGAAATAGCACATTGGACCGAATGTTAAGGCACCTTACATCTTCATTGAGCATAACAGTGGACACGTGGTTTGTGTTTATCATCTCTTCCTGAAAACGTCAGAATCCCGCTCCATCCCTTCCCTGGAATGTTCCTGAATGACAGGACTTCTTCTCATTGGCTGGCTTGGGATCATGCATTTTCTGGCCTCTTTCTCCTATGAAAGTATTTGTTGTCTTTCAGATTTTTTAACTTTGGTCTTGGCCCCCCAAAGAATAACGTGGACGCTTCCAAGAAAGCTTTGAGGAGCTTTTCCAGGTAGTGTGGGTGGACGGGATTCTCAGAATACATTTCCAACAGAGCTTGGTTACGCATCACCCTCACAGGGCACATGTCCCAAGTGTCTCTGTCGCTCCTCCTTGTGCCTAAACACAGAGCTCACCCTCAGCCCCTGCGCCTCCTTCCGAGCCACCAGGAAATGATGCATTGCTTCCTCCTGTCCTTAGAGCGCGGGATGCTGGGTCTGCTGGCTCTGCCTTACATAGGCCCGCTCCCCTCCCTGCTCTAAGTAGCCTTAGTGGGAGTAGCAACTGCAGCAGATTCTCAGGGCTGAGGAAAAGGGACTCAGAAGTATGCACCTCAGCAGGAAACTCCCTGTGCGAAGAGTCAGAGAAAAGACTACTGCATTTACTTGGTTTAATTTTACTGAGAATGTTGTTGGATAGGTACCCCAAAATTTTTTTTTTCCCCAAAGGGCTTCCTGCCCATTTTCTGTGAAGCACTTTTAAGTTGTGTTCGGCCTGCCCTGCCCTGACAGGAAAGATGGAACCTCTGCTGTTTGCACTGGGTGACATCCCCAGCACTTTTTTAAATTTTTGAGGCAGAGTTGCACTAGTTGGCTAGGTTGTGAACCTCCTGCCTCAGCTCCCCACAGGATGGGTGACAGGCATGTAGCACCAGCTGGGCTGGGTGCCTCCCTCAAAATGAGACACATAGGGATTCTTTCCAGACCTCTCCATCTGTCTTCCAGGGCAGAAGTTCTCAGGGCAGGAGTGAGGATGACCTCTGGACACATCCTCTTTCCCGGCAGTGGATAACTGCAGCCCACGGGCCAAACCCTGCCCCTCTGCCTGCAGTAGATACAGCCTCGTTGGAACGCATCTCCTTTGGAGAAGTGTCTTCTGTGACTTCCACACCACAGTAACAGAGTTGAATAGTAGGCAAAGAGACCATGTGCCTTAAAAAAGAAATACCAACTCTGCTCCTTTGCAGAGAAGCTGTACTGACGCTTGCCCTAGAGGAATGGACCAGCCTGGGTTGGGTTAGGGTGAGGAAGAAATGGCTTAGGAAACAGCTAAGTAGAAGCCTTTCTTGACTTGCCCTGTTTACTGTGATGTATCGGTGATTTGTGTTGCCCCTGAGCTGCCCCTAACAGGTAAGTACAGAGATAGCACAAAGGGGTAACTTGACCTACCCCTGTCTTTATTAAGAAATTTATATCCTAGCTGGATGTGTGGTGCATACCTATAATCCCGACACCCAGGGTGCTAAGGCAGGAGGATTGGTACAGGTTCAAGGCCAGCCTGGGTTACATAGCAAGACTCTGTCTCTAAAACCTTTAGTGTAAATAAATATCACCTGTAATCAGAAAGCTAAAACATAATGGAAAAACCCCTGGGCCTGGGAGATGGCTCAGTAGAATGCACACCTCCCTGGCAAGTGCAAGGTCCTGAGTTCAATCCCCGCTTCCACACACAAAAAAAAGAGAAAAACCCCTAATCACAGTAAATATCCTGTACCCCTGAAAATTCGTTCCTTGAGGAATAGGATTACTTAAGTGATCCACCAGTCTCTAAAGGGCTATCATATTTCCAAGTTAAGAAAAAGTGAGAACCTAAGAAGAGGGAGTTTGGGGGGAGTTTCTCAGGAGACTCAGACAAAGGACCATAAGATCAAGGCCAGCCTCGGCAACTCAGTTGAGACCCTGTCCCGAAAGGGAGTGGGGCCAGGCAGGGTGGCACATGTCTGTAACAGGGAGACTGAGGCCAGAGGATCATTGCAAATTTGAGGCCAGCCTGGGCTACAAAGTGAGCTCAGGGCCAGCCTGCACTACATAGACCCTGTCTCATCTCAAAAAAGATTATCGGAAGGAGTTGGAACAATAGCTCAGTGCTCCAACTTCAGTCCCCATTACCACCCCTCAATCATGAAGGAGTACGCCTGTCGTCTCCAGCTTGCAGTGTGGGTGGAAGCTTGCCTCTGAAGTACCTCCTGTTCATCTGTGCAGACATTGCAAGTCACTTGCATACCAGCCCCAGGCATGTTCTGCTTCGTGGAGGAGCACCTTTATCCAGAAAGCCCAGAGGGTCTTCTGCACCCTGGCGTGGGGACAGTAGCTGTGCTGGCTGCAGAGGCCAGTGTGCCTGGGGCGTCAGGCACCCGGCAGTGCAGCTGCTCTTCAGGACAGGGAGAGGAATGCCTGTAACGTGATTTGCCTTTTAAACAGTCTTAATTTTCCCCCAAGAGCGTGCTCTGTCTCTTCTGTGGCGTTGGTGGGCACTTCCTCGGGCAGGCAGCAATGGTAAGATTTTGCTTGCAGGGCGGCAGCTTGAACTCCTCAGCAAGTCTTCCAGCGGTGAGCCTAGAAACTCAGCATGAGCCCCTGCAGCAGTCCAGCCCACCACCCGGTGACCTGTGGGAGAGTCACGACAGTCCTCAGGCCGTCTCTGTCCAGAACAAGATTGGTGCCGAGAGCTAGAAATATTCTAGGTGGCTGAGGCAGGAGCATGTCCAAGTTTGAGCCCACCCTGGCGACTTGGCCAGACGGTGTTGCAGAAAGGACCGAGGATGTAGCTCAGTGCGAAGGCCTAGTGAAGGCAGCACGCTGTCGCCCACAGCCAGCACTGCTGTTGAAGGGTGCGCGCTGTGCTGCCTGCTATGGCTTCATCCTAAGCAGTACTTGACATTCAGAGGTGACAGGGCTGGGGAGACAGCTCGGGCACAAGTGACTGCATGGCGCAGGCCTTAATCCCAGCTCCTTGGAAGTGGAGGCAGTGATTATAAAATCAAGACCAGTTTGTGCAGCTTTTTACCCTGTCTCGAAATAAGATGTAAAAAGACGGGGCTACAGCTCCGAGGGTATAGCTCAGTGCTTAGTGTGCAGGCGGGCTAGGATCCCATCTCTACCAAAGAAAGAAAATGAAGCTCGTTTTGTTTTATTACCATCCACAGGCTATTCTAGACTATGGAATCACTCTTCATAATAAAAGTATTTTAAAAAATAAAAATACTCTCTGAGCTGTTCGTTTGCCTCTTCTAGCCCTCACCGGTGAAGTGGGGGCTGTCCCCGGGCAGGTTACCAGACCTGCCTCCGTCCACACTGCAGGTAGAGCGGCATCACACCCAGCTTGCAGAGACCTGGTGCATGTTTTCATGCCGCTCTTCTGCATCCGGGGAGAGCGGCGGCCCCGCTGCTGTCTGCACTGCGTCCAGCTCACGCTGGGCTGCTCGGTGTGCGCTCTGGTATGATCTGTGGCACAGCCCTGTGACTTGCGGCTCGAGGAGGGTAAGTGATCTGCCCACCCAGCAAGGCGCCCTTGTCGCGTGGCAGCCCAGGAGGGTTTTAGCAGCCGTCAGGCTCCCGAGTCTGTCCGGCTCTGCATCTTTCACAAGGCCTCAGCCCTGACCTTCAGCCTGCCAAGGTAAGCACTCATCCTGCCGCGTTCGTGTTGCTCTTTTTCTTTCCATGTCTTCCCAAATCACCTGAGCTACCACAGTCCTTTCCTGTGGACTAAATGAACGTCAGTGTTTGCTTGCTTGCTTTTTTTTTTTTGTGCGAAACCAGGGATTGAACTCCGGCCCTTGCGCTTGCCAGGGCTCCCTGGCCCCTCCTTTTTACTTTTGGTACCAGAAATTGAACTCGGGACCTTGTGTTTGCCAGGCAGGTGCTTGTACCACTGAGCTGTGTCCCCTGATGTGTTTCACAGCAGTTCCATAGTTATATTAAGCATTCTGCATCACTCCTCACCTCTCCTGAGAAGCGTTTTTTGGTCCATCTACTACCCCACGATTCCCCATATAATAAGGCACAGGACATGTTCTCACATTTGCATAAACCAAGCAGGGAAGTGGCTGCTCTGCCAGAGAAGCCGTTTGGTTTGCTTGCCAGTCTGCGGCTGCACTTGCCGAGCGTGGATCTGTGAAGAGTGAGAGTCGCGGTGTATTGGCCGCACGCTGGGCTTTTACTTTCTGTGCGCATGATCCATTTTGGAGGCTAGCTCCTGCACGGTTCCTGCCTCTGGTCTTGCGTCCTCCGTGACTTCACCTGCAGATCAAAGGAACTCAATCTGCTGTGCAGCAGGCTGCCCCTGTTCCTCGTGTCCTAGTGAGGCTGCCCGTGGGCTCGCTCTGGGATGTTGCAAGCAGAAGTCGCTGGCGTGGTGAGGGACCTCCTCTAGGAGACGAGCCCCACGTGGCTGGGCCTCACCAGGTGGGCAGGCCTGTGCTTCAACATTGCCAGAGAAAGCTAGGGGGTGATTACTGTGAAAGAAAAGTCCAGGGTCTCAGGAACTAGGGGAGACAGTGGGCTTTCTGCAGGGTGTAATGGCTCTCAACCTTCTCATAAATGAAGGGTGTTTGGGCCTAAAAAGACCTTGAAGTTCAAGCCCAGCTGCAGAGAGCAAGGCCCTTTCAGAAGCCCTAAAGTCAAAGGCCAGGGAAGCCGGGGGCTGGCCTCTGAGCTGTTGTCCTTGTCTTTTTGGCACCATAGGGGAATCAAAGCCCAGGGCAATTTAGAGGCACAAAGGTGTGATAAAAACATTTGCTTGTTGTTCTTCCTGATAGACCAGAAAATAGAAAAAAAAAAAAGAAAATTGGACACTATCTTCCTTATCAAACTATCCCCTGTAATCTAACTTAGAGAATTGATAGGAAGCAAAAGGACGTTTATTCATTTTTAACCATTTACCAGTCCAGTTATTTAAATACAGGATTTTAAATTTGCATGTTTTAATTTTTTATGATAGGAAATATAAAAACTTAAATTTCAAAAATAAATGTCAATACAAGAATCAACATTGAAATGACACCTGCCCAAGTGACCCTCAGAGTACACTGTTAGGTAGTGAAACAGTTTTGTAGCGGGGCGTGGTGGTGCACACCTGTAATGTCAGCACTCGAGAGGCTGGGGCGGGAAGATTGCTGCAAGTTTGGGGCCAGCCTGAGCTGCAGAGCAAAACCGTGTCTGAAAAAGACCACACACACACACACACACACACACACACACACACACACACACACACGGAACAGTCTTACATGGCAGAAGGTGCCACTGGGTTATTCAGACTCGCATATTTCAGTACCAGTAGATGTCCCCTCCTTCATTCATAGTTTCTACTCCCCTTATTCCCTCATTTGTGGTACTGCAGAACTCTCAGCCCTTTTTATTCTGCGGCCAAACGGGGCTCCTCTGATGTGGAGAAGATCAGGGCCGGGGCTTACGAATTTCTGCAGGAGGAGCTGATCCCATCCCGTTTCTTGTTGACAAGCTACAGATGAAGTCTGTAGTCTCAAACCTGTAGTCTCAAACCAGGTCCTCAAATGCCATTTTAATTGCTGAAAAAAACACCTTTGCTAGAAGAAATGGGCTCATAGCCAGGTGTGGTGCTGCACACATGTCGTCCTGCTACTGGCATGGTGAGACAGCTGGATCTCGGGTTCAAGGCCAGCCCTTGCAGCATCTCAAACTGAAGGAAGGGCTGAGGATGTAGCTCAGTGTTCCCTGGGTTCACTCCCCAGTATGGGCGGGGGCGGGGTGGTAAGTGGGCTGATACATTCCCCAGTTAGCACTGAGAGAACACAGTTTTCTAT